GTGGGCTGAAGGTCAGCCCGCCCCGCCCAGCGCGGGTCCTAAGCACAGGCTGGGGGACATGCGTCCCTGATTAGGCTGCAGCTCTTCCATCTGTGATGGGAACCAGGTGCCACAGCCCCAGCATCCATGGTCCCAGGTCCTCCCCACAGCTGTGCTGCTCTCTCCCTGCAGGACGCAGAGAGGGAGACCATCGAGATGCAGGAGAAGCTGAACCAGCTCTGCGAGGAGAAGGCCTCCCTCCTCAACAGCCTGGTGGAGGCAGAGTGAGTCCTGGGTGCTGCTTTGAATCTGCTCTAAATGTCACCACCCCTGCAGTGCATCTGTGGATGTGGCCATCATTCATCAGGACCACTGAGGGTGGCTCTGAGCCCACCTTCAAAGATCCCAGAAGAACCACAGAAAGCCACCACAGGCATCTGGTCTCCCACCCTTGGTGGCAGGCCTCCAGCCAGACCAGTTACTGCTGGAAACTGAGTGGCTTTCTGTGACATAAATTTGTTAAAATGTGTATTATTTTTATGGTGTCTGATTATCAAACACCCAACCCCAAGCATCTTAACTGTAACAAGGAGGACAGGGAAAACATATAATTCCAACTCTCCTCCTTTTTCAGAAAAACACCGTGCAGGCATATTTCTTTCTTGTTTTGTTTTTAGCAAAAACGTTTCCCTTTGAAGCTGTCTTTGTGGCTATCATTCCATGCCAATGCGTGTGGATCTACAGCTCCAGCTGGAATGGTTGCTGGGTCCACACCTTGTGGGTGTAGTTTATTTTATACAGCACACTCAGAGAGAGTGGACCCCAAAGGGATTGTCCCTTCCTTGATAGAATCCATTGCCTAAAACCATCTGGGACCAGTGCTTTTGGGGTGTCTTTGGTGACATTTTAATACAAAGACTGAACAAAATACACAGTGAATGTTTAAATTTTTAAATTTATAACAGTAAATGACACATTGCCATGATTCCCCTCAAAATCCTTCTCACTTCAGATACACTGATCCCATCGTTCTTGCCACTTTCTGAAGCAGTTCTGGAAGCCCTCTTTCCTGAACATCTTTACAAAGTACGATCAAAACTATGGGGACAGTGAATGCTTCTTCTAAGTGCTGTCCTACAGATAGTGAAAACACTATGTTGTGTCCTTATCTACTTTTTTCACTGGATGTGGCATCCTGTGACTTCTGGCTCTTTCCCAGGACCCAAATGAGCATGAAAGGTGAACATTTTTAATTCAGAGGACATCAAGTCAGCCACAACACCACAACTAAAAAAACTCACAAAAGAGGACTTCCAGAACCTGCTTCAGAAAGTGCAAAGAACAGTTGTGTTCAAAGTATGAGGGAGTATCTTTGGGGGTGTTATTGGCAATGTGTCTTATTGTAATAAATATTTTAAAAATTTAAATTCACCACATCTTTTTATCACCCCTCCTAGCTTTAGGCCATAGATATTCAGGCTTTTACTTCTAAAGTCAACTTCCATCAGTTACATTACTTTCTTAGCTCCTGAAGTTATATATTTGTGTTTCCACATCTCTCAGTACCTTTCTCTCTCCATCCTTCTCAGTTCTTGCCCTTCTCTTATCCCGTCTTCCTCCTCCCCTCTCTCCCTGTGTACCTGAGGTCTGTGTATTTTAAGTGTTGACAGAGCTTTTTTGCAAGGAGCCACAGAGTAAACATTCAGAATCATGAACCTCTCAGTCTTGCAGTGACAGCTCAGAGGCTGGCTGAGGTCCTGGAAGAAAACTGACTTCTCCAGCTCTGACACTACCTCTCTCACCTCTCCAGACACCAGATCATGCTTTGGGAGAAAAAAATCCAACTGGCCAAAGAGATGCGCGCCTCGGTGGATTCCGATGCCAGCCAGACAGAAATCCGCGCCATGAAGGCGGAGATCCACAGGATGAAGGTATGGATGGAGCCTGGTGGGGACTGGTGGGCCTTGGGGACCAGGCTCCTGGGGCCATCCTGGCCAGAGGGCAACAGATGCGTCCTGAGACAACCCCACTGGCAGGGTCTGCCTCTGTCCCTGCAGCACGGAAGCAATGACAGGGTCACGAGCCTCAGTCACGGGTCACGCACAGTTGTACACACATTATTTCACAAAACACTATTTTATCCTTAATTCAAGTGATCAAGGCACTCTGATATTTGAAAACTGGGTGTGGTGGCACATTCCTGTAATCCCAGCACTCTGAGAGGTTGAGACAGGAGGATTGCAATTTCAAGCCCAGCCTGAACAATTTGGAGAAACCCTGTTGCAAAATAAAAACTACTGGGGCCATAATTCAGTGATCGAGCACTTGCTTAGCATGCATGAGACCCTGGGTTCAATTCCCAGCACCACACAAACACAAAATGCAGGCTGTGACACCACATTTCACAACCCTCCAATGGGGGACAGGAACAGCCTCATACGATAACAGGGTTCAGAAAGATATCCCCATCTCGTCCCTCATATGTAGTGAGATTTCGTGGGGATCCACTTGTCTTGGTGCTGCCTGAGTCACACGTCTGTCCACAAGTCCCCACTAAATTGCACTTTGTGTAGTCCTGGACCTGTCTGCATCCTTCCGTCTCTGGACAGCTTCTGTCCTGTGGATGGTCCTCATATGCTGGGATGGGTTTCTTTGAAACAATAAGCATCCTCTAGAAAGAGAGAAGCCTGAGAGGAATACACAGGCAGTACTCAAAAATATGGTTGAATGTTTACATTTTAAAAATCTCTTATAGTACAGGACACATTGCCGTTAATCACCCCTGGAAATACTCCCCCTCAAATCAAATACATTTATCCCATCATTCTTGCCACTTACTGAAGCAGTTCTGGAAGTCCTTTTTCCTGAGTGTCTTCACAGGTGTGATCAAAAATACAGTAAATGTTGCTGCCAGGTGCCATCCAAAGGCAAGGCAGGCTTGTAAAATGTAAAAATATTACGATGTGTCCTCATCCACCTTATGTACTGGATTTGGCACAGTGCAACTTCTGGTCCTTCCTCAAAGTTAAAATGACCATCAAAGGTCAACCTTTTGAATGGATTCAAAACGAGGCAGCTGCAACAGGACAATTGAAGACACTCACGAAAGAGGACTTCCAGACCTGCTTCAGAAAGTGGCAAGAATGTTGGGATAAGTGTATTCGATGCCTGCTGCCCAGACTCCGCACTGTGTCCCTGCCAGTCCTGTGGGATGGCACCGGCAGGGGACAGGCTGTGGGGGCGAGGCAGCAGCTCGCGGCACAGCTGGTGTCCTGGACCCGCAGCCCCTCTGTCCTGTGCCCCCAGGTCAAGCTCGGGCAGCTGCTGAAGCAGCAGGAGAAGATGATCCGGGACATGGAGATGGTGGTGACTCGCAGGGAGACCATCATGACCCAGGCCGAGGGGCAGAGCAAGGTGGACAAGAAGGCTCTCACCAGGACCGAATTCCACCACAGGAAGATTGAGCTGCAGCGGAAAATCAGGGAAACTCACAAGGTGAGCAGCAGCGGGAAAACACAGGGGTTTCATGGTCCTTTTCTGCCTCTGCAACCCGCGGAATATTCTAGAAAGGTGCTCCTGATCCAGCTCCATGTCTGCTCTTGGGGCTGGGCATCACGATGTTCTTCTCTCGTCAAGGACACTTCCTCCCCCTTGGCACGTCATCTGGGGTCCCAGGGCCTCCGGGCTGTGCTCACACTGGCTCCCACCACCCCGTCCCCATGGCGGAGTCTTCTCTGCTTCTCGCTCACTCCCTGGGCTGCGGTCCATGCTGCTGCGACACACTGACAGCAGCGTGGGGGCGGTGTGGATCGGGAGGCCAGCTTTGGAACTGGGCAAGCCCATCTGTCCTGCCCGGTGACGGAAGCCACTGCGTCCTCTGGGCAGTGACCACCCTCTGTGAGGGGATGCGTGGCCCATGTGCTGGATCCTGCTGGGTGAAGATGTGGCCATCAATGTGGCCTGAGCTCCCCAGGGGCTCCTGAGTCCCCCTTGCCTGGTGCCGTCCTGGGCCTGGCCCTGGAACTTTGCCTGGGGTCTAGCACAATTCACCTGGGGGCTGAGGCAGCCGGGTATTTGCCTTTTGCTTAACAGAAATAGCCTCTGGGAAATACACAGTGTGGGTGAGGATGTACTGCCAGTGGGGGCTGGGGACAGGCTGCTGGGAACACAGTGGGCACCCCCAGAGCCTGCATCTCTGTCCACCTGGGAGAGGACAGACCAGTGCTGCCCCAGTGCCCATTCCCAAGCCATCACCAGGTCGGAAGTTGAGCTCACACTTCCCAGGTTGGCTCACGGCCCCGCTGACCAGCTGCATGGCTGTGGGTGTGAGATGCCTTTCCCAGCCCCTCTCCGTGTCTGCTGCTGCAGGAGGGGCAGGAACTGCCTCCCGGGGAGGTGACGGTTAAAGGCAACAGCAGCCGTGGCCGTGCACGGTGTGGAGGCCATGGGGAGCTCTAAGAATGTGGCCCCAGAGGTCCCTGGGCACTCACAAGGAGCCTCCTGTGTCCCCCACTGGCCCCACACCCTGCCAGGCAGCACCCAAGTCCTCCTGCTCCCTGGGCCACTCCCAACAGGAGCCCCTCCATGGCTGATAAACGGGGCCTTTTCCTCATACTCCAGTCCCATCCCGGAGGTCTGTGTCCCCAGCCTGGCCCAGAGAGCGACTGCCTTCATCTTTCTCTGGACCCCACCTCAGCTGGCAGTCTCTGCCCCACCCTGCTGGAAGCCACTGCATTTGCACATCCCTCTCCCCCACATGAAGGGTCCCACCCAGCCCAGTGCATGGCCAGAAGACACCTGCGGGTCCTTGGCCTATCTGCCAAGTGACTGGGATGCAGGGGCCCAGCAGGTCTGTCTCCTAGGCCACTGAGCAGTGCAACCGGACCATCTTGGAGCTGGAAGAGACTCAAAAGCTACTGAACAGCTCCCTCTTGGAGAAGCAGGAGACGCTGTCCAGGATGCAGGTGGACACAGACACGCTTGACGCCAACATCAGGCAGCTTATGGCGTTCAAGCGGCAGGTGAGAGTCCCAGGGGTCCCTCAAGCTGAGGCTCCTGGGCAGGAGGGTGCACCATGACCAGGAGAAGCCAGAGTCTCTGACAGCAACGCTGGTGTTTACGTTTTTGTGCCCTTGTGATTGCTTCACTCAGCAGATATTAAGCACTATCAGTCATGGGCCAGGTACCAATCTGGATGCTAGGACTGCAGGACAGACGAGGCAGAGTTCCATCCTGGGGGAAGGAGAGCGCAGGGCACGCAGAGTAAATAAGGAGAAGGCAAGATGTGTGAGATGGGGGTGAATCCTTTGAAGAAAAATAAGCAGAGAGCTGTGCTGGGGACTCCGGGTGAAATGGGGAATGAAATTTGAGTGTGGTGGCCTGGGAAGGCTGAACTGAGAGGGCGAGGGCCTGCAGGAAGCAAGGGAGGAGCGGCCCCAGGCTGCTGGCCAGGGGAACAGCAGGACAAGGAGGCAGGGCTGGCAGCTGCAGGAGGAGCACAGTCCGGACTTTGGGCCTTTGCAGCCGGGATGAGCGGAGACAGCGGAGGGGTGTGGGCCACAGATGGCCTGGGATTCCGCAGGATGCCTGGCTCCAGGGTGTGCGGTCGAGGGTCCAGGGTGCACATAGAGGCTGCTTGAGGCACACAGCTCTTCAGGAAGGTGCTGTACAAAGATGAAGGCGGCCAGCGCTCTGCATGTGTATAATTCAGAAGCCATCCCAGCTGGATCTCCTGCCGGCCTGGCTGTGTGTGAGCGGAAGAGGGGTCAGCCGTGACTCCAACACACAGGCCTGGCCAGCTGAGACAGGAACGCATCCAGCATCAGGCCTGACATACAGTGGCATCAAAACTGTCTCCTTGCAGCCAGGCGTGGTGACGCACACCTGTGATCCCAGCGCTCTGGGAGGCTGAGGCAGGAGGATCATTAAGTTCAAGCCCAACCTGGGCAACTTAGCAAGCAACTCAGCAAGACTCGGTCTGAAAATAAAAAATAGTAAAGGGCTAGGGATCTAACTCAGTGCAGAGGTCCCGAGTTCAATCCCTAGTGCCACAATAAATAAATAATAAATAAGTAAATAAGGTAGGTCCCAAGGACAAGGGTATAATAGTGACTGAGACTATAGACTTCAGTCCCCAGTACCCGCCCCCCCAGTCTCTCTGGACGGATGAATAAGGGTCCCAGGCAGTGGGAATCTGGCTGTCCCTGGGGACTGGAAACTCACTTTTCTCTCCTTCCCCAAGGTGTGGTTCTCCTCCCTGGTACCCTCTCAGGTGAGCTGGGGGGGCCAACACCCTGACACATTGTCCCTTTCCCAACCAGAACCTTTCAGAGATTGTGATCCTACAGACGCGCCTCAAGCACCTGCAGGCCGTGGTGGACGGGAAGTATTCGTTCCTGTTCCGCTCCCGGAAGTCCATGATGCTGGAACACAAGCGCCTGGAGGGCCGGCTGGCCCTGCTGAGCACCATCCTGGCCCATGCACAGGAGGAGCACCCCCAGTTCCAGGAGGCCCTGCGCCCCATCAGCCAGAAGATCGCCAGCAAGCTCGAGTCCCTGGGGCCTTCCTAGAAAACATAATGGATCCCCCCACTTCCAGGACCCAACCCTAAAGAAGACCCCCAGAATTCTGCTCATCACCAGGGACAGCATCTGGGTGCCTTCATAATGACACCATTTATGGGACACAGACAGGCCACCCCTGAGGAATTATTTCTCAGCCACTCAGTTTAAACAAAGTAGAACCCAGAGTGTCCACAGCTCTGGTGAGCCTGACTGTCCCCTTTCCAAATGCGGGGGCATCGCCTGTGAATACAAACTCCCACATGCCCAAGGGCCTGACTGGTCCAAGTAAAAAGCAGTCGGTGGTGGGTCCCCAGGGCCAGACTCCTGGGGAAGAAGGGACCCCACGGAAGCCAGGGGTGGGACTGCTTCATTCCTAGAGCTCTGCTAGGGCACAACTGAGGACCCAAGCCACCTTCCGGGCCCCCATCCCCTCCCCACCCCGCTGCCCAGTGTGCAGGGCCTCAGGGCTTCCCAGGAAGCAGGCGCTGGGCTGTAACGGGACCACAGCAAGCTGGGGCCTGTTCCCCGCCTGCTAGCCTCTCTCCCACACGCTGGCTTCTTTCTGAGACAATTACCCTGTGGTTTCTCTAAGGGGGAAAGGAAAAATGTTCTACAAAAGAACTTCATTTGCAAACTCTGGAGCAGAATAAAATACTCCTTTTGAATATGGCAGTGAGACATGTTTATTCTAAAACTGCAGAAATACAGAACTACAAATCAGGCAGGGAGGTCGCGGCACGGACCCTCCTCCGCTCTGCGCGCACAGGTTTCTTTCTTTCCTTCCTTTCCTTCCTCCCACCCCCGCCCCCACCGGGGATTGGAACTCAGGACCTTGTGCTTGGGCAGGCGCCTCGGGGCACCACTGAGCTGAATCCCGGTCGGTAGGTTTTCGATCTCACTCCTGTAAGTTTGCCTATCTTTTTATGCGCATTTTCTCACCTGAGGATCACAATGCCTCGCCTCCTCCCCCAGGAGGAAGGGTGAGTCACGCAGTGAGTGAAAGGTGCCTCCAGATCCGGGCTGACTCCAGCCTCTCCGCCTTTTCCACGCGTCCCCCGCCGAGTCTCACTGCCCCCGGCTGTGCCCACGCGCGTCGTGTCCCTTCTCTGTCCCCAAAGGAACCTGCAGCCACAGCCGGACAGGCGCCCCAGGACACCTGCCCACGCCCGCGTCGGGGTCGCTCCTCGCACATCGCCACTAGGGGGCGCAGCGCTCATACCGCTGGCCTAGCCTCGGGCGCCTGCGCGGGGGCGGTGCCACGTGACACTGCGGGCCCGCCCCTCCTGCCGGCTACGTGACCTCGCGGGATCCTGCAGGGGGTCTGTGCGACGGCGGGCTCGCAGGTGAGCGTCGCGCACTGGTGAGCGGCCGTCGGCAGGCACGGGTGCGTAGGTGAGTGGCGGGTGCTGCCCAGGAGCGGGCTGGCCGGCGGCCTGCAGCTGTCAGCGATTTCCTAATTGGGACACTGAGCGGAGCAACGGGGCAGTGACCCCAAGAACGGAACTGGCCCCAGAACCCGGTTTCTTGCACATCTCCACGGTGCTCAAGGGGAAGGCTCTGTTTGTACCGTGTCTCTCAGTTTGAGGCACCTGGGGGATGAGAAACTTCAGCCCCAGTTGTCAGAAAGCTGGCGTTTGAACCCACCCAGCGCCGGGGAGGTCAGCGGGTCAGGCCTCTTCCCAGAACCCGAGTTGGTCCTTTTTGGTCCTTCCCCATTTGTCTCTGAACGGGACGTTGAAAACAGAACTGAGAACCCTCGTATAGTGCTAGGGTGCCTGCTCGCTCCCCGTTTCTAGGACCTCCTTCCCCCTGAGCCTCCTCTGCCCTCCTGTGCAGCTGCCCCGAACCTGTCGGTGTGGTGGCCCCGACTGTGGACCCCTGCACTGTACTCGGAGTCTTGAGTTCCCTAGAGCGGAGTCTGACCGCAAGGCACCACGTGTGTCTACAAGGGCCAGAGGGGCGGGGCCTCTGCAGCACCGGACGAAGTGAATATCTGGTCTCCGAGCTTGCTTCCTGGCACACAGCTCCCTCCCCAAACCCTTGGAACTCCGATTGATGTCTTTCCAGTGCTAAGGAGGTAGCTGGTGACCCCTAGGCAGAAAAACCAAGACTTGTTTAGACTTTTAGCTTCCCTCATCCACCCACCTAGTCCTAGAAAGGTTTGGAGATCCAGTCCATCACTAATGGCCGATAATTAATAAATACATACATAATAGACACCCCCCCCCCCAAGATCGGATGGGTGAACAACGTATATGCCTGGAAGCTCTGTCCACCCCCACCAAACCTCACAGTATACATCTCTGCTGTTCCTGAGTTACAGCCTTTGTTGGGGAAAAAAACAACAGAAAATAATGGTAAATGTCAGTAAAGTGCCTTCCAGAGTCCTGTGAGCTATTCTAGTGAGCTATGGAGCCAGGATGGAGGCTCGTTCAAGCCCCCAAGTTGATAGCCAGTCAACAGAGGTACTGCTGATGGCCTGGGATTGCAGCTGGCTGCTGAAGTGGCACAGTCTTATGGGGTCCAGCCCTCAATTGTGGGGGCTGTGCTACCTCTAGGGAGTCAGTGTCGAAGCGCTCCACACCACCTACGCATGGGCTCTCACTAGGGAGTCAGTGTCACCACCAGATTGGACTCTAGGACACCCAGCTGGTGTCTGGAGAGCTGAAGAATCAGTTGGTGGAAGAAAAACCTCCCACAAGTTGATGTTACAAATGTGGGGAGAAAATTTCACTCCCACCTCAGAGAGCCCAATTCACAAATGACCCCTGGTGGCCCCCAAGCCCAGCTGCTGGTCAGAATGTTTGTGGCCGGCTCTTCTGTGATACAGTCTGGCCTGTGTGTCACCCCTGCTAGTGTGTGACTGTTCCCCACTGTGTGCATGTTACTGGCAGTAAGAAGGTCACACAGAGCCACGTAGGCCAGGGCACCCAGTCGCTGGACTCTGAAATCCACCCTGGCTCTGCCCCTGACTGTGCCTGGAAGACCAGGACTCCATGCCCAACGGTGCCGGTGCCTCAAGTGCGCCCCCACTGTGGCCTTACTGCTAGAACACTTTGACCTGACCCTCTTCCTTCTCTTTCCGGTGGGCTCAGACTGGCGTGGGTGTGGTGTGTCTCCCAGCCTTCCTGTCCCAGCCTCTCTTTTTCCCGATGAGATCAAAGATTCCTGTAGAAAATCCTTGCATGTTTACCCCATGTTGGTGCCTGCTGCACCTTGGAAGGACTGGGCTGATTCCACATTCCTCATACAGTGCTTGGAATGTGCAGTAATAAGCCAAAGAAAGGGAACAATCTTGTTGATCTCAACACCAGACCCTGACCTTCTGTCCTTGTCTCTGTTCCTGTGAGGCTCCAGATGCAGGTGTACCCAGGCATGCCTCCCCAGTGCCACAGGGAGGGCCTGGGTCTCTCGTCTGCAAAGCCATCAGGGCTTGGGACTCTCTTTTGTGGTGTGGCCATCCTAGTGTGGTCCTCAGCAGTGCCCAAGATTTCTCACATGGTGTATCCCTGTGCCCACAGCAGGAAAGGAGCCAAAGAGATGGCAAGCCCCTGAGGGCATTAATCCACTTACCTATTGGTGGCTGAGATTTACCGGCCTGGGCCATACCTTCCTGCAGAAGTGGGGCTCATATCACCTACAGTTGAAGCTTGCTCAATTCATTTGTTATCTGTCATTCTAGGCTCTTCCTGTACATTTCCTTTTTTTGAGACAGTCTCACTGTGTAGTTTAGGCTGGCCTTGGACTCACTATGTAGCCCAGGCTGGCCTCGAACACATGGCAATCCTCCTGCCTCAGCCTCCCGAGTGCTGAGATTACAGGCATGCGTTACCATGCCCAGTGCTTCCTGTACTTTTTTTTTTTTTGGTACCAGGGATCAAACTCAGGACCTCACTTTGGCAAGGCAGTTGGCGGAACTACTGAGCTAAATTCCTGGCCCCTCTTCCTGTACTTTTTATTTATTTTTTTTAATGGTGCTGGAGACTAAACCCAGGGCCTTGTGCATGCTAAGCACTCACTTTGCCACTGAGCTACAACACCCGCTCTTCCTGTACTTAAACGCATATCATTTGTGACCTTTTAGAAGACTTAGTGGGCGCTGTTCCACGGTCCCCACTTTGGGATATGTCTCTTCCCTTTTACCTGTCTTCCCTCCTGTCAGTCAGCACAGTGCTCCAGCGCCGCCTGCAGTGTGCATTCTCTGTAGCACCCATGTCGCTGGCACCCCTTATCTGCAGCACCCCCTCTCCTCATTGCTGGGTCTGCAGCACCCTGTGTCTCCTCCTCCGCCCTCCCCTCCAGCTGTCCTCATCAGCGCCCTGGGGGAGGCCCCTGGCTGGCCTCTCTGTCCCCTGGCGCTGCTGGCCATGGGTCCAGGCTGTGCTGTGGAATCCACCCGAGTCCTCTGGCTGCCCTGCTCAGCTGGTCTCTTCTCTCAGCAGGCCTCCCGGAGCTCCCACACGGCCCAGGCAGGCAGGCGTCCACCATGGCTGTGCTGTGGGCACCCTGTTCCCGGCTGCTGGTGGGGGCCTGCACCCTCATCTCCTTGGCCACGGTTGTCCTCCTGGGACACGTCCTGTTTTGTGACTTCCCAGTGGTCCCTCGAGAGCTGCGAGACTTTCCTCAAGGGCTGGAAGAGACTGCCCACGCTCACCAGCCAGGAGCCAGCGGGCCAGAGCCCTGGCGTGCCCAGAAACACCCTGGCCAGCCTGGAGCAGCACCAGCACAGTGTGACATCCCTCCCGACAGCCGCTTTGACTGTGCCCCTGACAAGGCTGTCACCCAGGAGCAGTGCGAGGCCCGTGGGTGCTGCTATGTCCCAGCAAGGCAGCACCCTGGGCCCCCCCTGATGGGGCAGCCCTGGTGTTTCTTCCCCTCCAGCTATCCGAGCTACCGCCTGCAGAACCTCAGCTCCTCAGAGATGGGCTACACAGCAACCCTGACCCGAGCTACCCCCACCTTCTTCCCCAAGGACATCCTGACCTTGCAGCTGGACGTGTTGATGGAGACAGAGAGCCGCCTGCACTTCACGGTGGGCCAGGATGGGCTGGGGCCAGGCAGGAGTCTGGGCATGTGGAGGGGACCCTGCAGAGACCCAGGCACGCAGACAGGCTGGGCCAGCAGGGGCAGAGAGGACATGGAGTACATGTGGGCTCCCTGCGGGTGTGCCTGCGGCCCTAATGTGTGCCGAGAGCTCGGGTATGAGCAGACAGAGTGGCCCGGTGGGAAGAATGAGACTCATGTGGTGGCAGGTGCTCTAGAAGGTAGGGTGAGGGCACGGATGGGGTCACATGTCCTCCAGGGGTGACTCAGCCTCCTGCAGGGAGGAGTCAGCATGGGGATGGAGCACCAGCCACTGACCACCCACCAGCAGCTGGGACTTCCACTTGCTGCTCCCCCGAACCCCACGGCACCCCTCCCTGCAGAAGGTGACTTTGTTTTAATGGGAGGATGCCCCGTGCCATATTTGGGCCATACTTAGATTAATAAAAAAAATTAGCAGTTTATCAAAGTTCAGGTTTACTGGGTGCTCTGTCTTTGACCTGGCAACCCGAGGGTGGTTTCCTTCTGGCTGTGCAGATGAGGAAACTGAGGCTCAGAGGGGTAGAACCAAGTGCCTGTGCACACAGACGGTGCCTGGCCCGTGTGGGACGTGAGCTCCTCCTGGAGCCATGAGGCCTACGAGACTGAGGACAGGACTGGAGGGCGAGCCAGCAGCCCTCCCACGGCTTGAGCCTCACTGTCTCTTCTAGATCAAAGACCCCGCCGACAAGCGCTACGAGGTGCCCTTGGAGACCCCGCGTGTGCACAGCCGGGCGCCGTCCCCCCTCTATAGCGTGGAGCTCTCCGAGGAGCCCTTCGGGGTGGTGGTGCGCAGGAAGCTGGACGGCCGGGTGCTGTGAGTGCTGCTCCCGGGCCTCGCCCTGCACCCTGGGTGGGCGGTGTCGGCTCCTGGGGCCAAGCCTCTTGGAGGGACGAGCCCATCTGTGAGCTGGACAGCATCGTCCTCCCGCTGTGGCCTGCCGTGGACCCCGATCCTGCTCCTCTCCCATCCCTGCCAGGGCCACCTGGTTGTTGCCAGAGCACCCCAAGCCCGTGCCCACGGAGGTCCGCTCAGGGCAGCCCCCCAATCTTGGCATGGTTCCCGTGGGGCCCAGAGGGTCCTTCCTCCCACCCAGCCCAGGAGCCCCGTCCAGGGCCCATATCCCCAGGCCATCTGCAGATGGCTTCTTTGCCACAGCAGGGTGTTCTGGCATCCTGCAGTGCCCAGGGCAGCCCACCACAAAGGGTGACTCTCCCGGGTGCCAGAAGTGCCGAGGAGAGACCTGGTCCAGCCCAGAGTGGCTCCCCCTCCGGGTGGCTTGCTTGCCCTTACTCCACTTTATTTATACTTATTTGTCAAATATTTGTCACTTACCACATACCAGGAACTAATTTTTAACTCATTTAAGCTCCATAACAACTCAGAATTCAGTGGTTCTGTTGAGGAAACTGAGCCACAGAGGCGAGGGGACTCACTGGCATGTGATAGAGCCAGGGCACCATAGCCCCTGCTGTTGGCCACTCTTTGTGTCCCTCCAGGGCCCATGTCCTCTAGTATGACCTTGTAGGTGTTTATATCGCTGCTGCCCACTCCCCGTCCAGGGTGGCGTGGGCACAACCTCTCAGGATGTGCCCTTAGTGGCTCTTTTCACTGGCTTCCGGTTGTGGATGGCTGCTGGGCCTCAAGTGACTGCCTGTCCTGGGGTCCACCTTGGGTGTGGGTACAAGGAAGCCTGGTCTCCCCGCAGGCTGAACACCACCGTGGCACCCCTGTTCTTCGCCGACCAGTTTCTCCAGCTATCCACCTCCCTACCCTCTCGGTACATCACTGGCCTTGCTGAGCACCTTAGCCCCCTGATACTCAAAACCGAATGGACCAGGGTCACCCTCTGGAACCGGGACTTGGCCCCCTTGGTAAGGAGGGGTGACCAGGCGGGAGCTTGGAGTCTGGGGTCCCAGGGCTAAAGTGCTCTCCCTGCCTGTCCCAGCCCAGTGCCAATCTCTATGGGTCACACCCTTTCTACCTGGCTCTGGAGGATGGCGGCTCAGCCCATGGAGTCTTCCTGCTGAACAGCAATGCCATGGGTGAGTCCCAGGCTGGGCCTGCCCCGGAACGAGAGGTTCTGCCGAGGCCTCTCATCTGGCGAAGGAGCAGAGTGGCTGAGGCCTTCTGTGCCCCGTGGGGGGTCCCAGGCAGGCCCCCAGGTCCAGTGCTCACGGCCCTTCCACCCCTGCCTAGGTAGGGTCAGCACAGCTGCCCCTTGGCCCCACCCTGGCAGGCTGCTTCCAGGGTCCCTGTGGAGAGCCACACTCCAGCTGCAGCCTGGCCATCTATGGGGAGCGGCGGCTCACACTGGGGTGTTCATCACCGAGCCAGGCTGTTTCCCCCAGATGTGGTCCTGCAGCCCAGCCCAGCCCTCACCTGGAGGTCAACAGGTGGGATCCTGGATGTGTATGTCTTCCTGGGACCAGAGCCCAAGAGCGTGGTGCAGCAGTACCTGGACGTCGTGGGTAAGGCCTGCTCCCTGTGCCTGCCCCACCCCTCCCCTCCCCTTCTGCCCCCACTCACAGTGCTGTTGGCCCGCAGGGCGCCCCTTCATGCCACCGTACTGGGGCCTGGGCTTTCACCTCTGTCGCTGGGGCTACTCCTCCACTGCCATCCTCCGCCAGGTGGTACAGAACATGACCAGGGCCCACTTCCCCCTGGTAAGTGAGGGTGGAGCGGGGCAGCCAGGCAGGGCAGCAGAGCTCCCAGATGCCAGCGGTAGGCCCTGTGCTGCACCACAGGATGTGCAGTGGAACGACCTGGACTACATGGACGCACAGAGGGACTTCACTTTCAACCGGGATGGCTTTGCAGACTTGCCAGCCGCTGTGCACGAGCTCCACCAGGGCGGCCGGAAGTACATGATGATTGTGGTGAGTGCCCCACCCCTTCCTTTCCCTTCCTTCAGGACAGTGCCCGGGTCTGGGGACGGCAGGCGCCTGTGCCGTGGCTCTTGCTTATGCCTGCTGTGGTTACCAAGGACGTCTTCTGAGTTTGTCTTATACTGAGGGAACGTCAAGGAGGTTATGGACTTAGTCCCCGCTTAGTCTCCATACTCTGGATTCTCTAGTTTTGGGGTTACTTGTACTGCCCTAAAGCCAAAGGCAGAGCTGATGTCACTGTACTGGGAAAGGCCAGGGGGCTGGATGGGGAAGCAGATGGATCTCCTGTCCTGCTCATCCCTTGGAACAGCTCTGTGTGGGAAGAGGTGACCAAGGGCAGAACTGAGTGACATAGTACAAAAGCCGACCTGCTTCGGGCCTCTCCCTATAGTGGGAGGGATGTGATTCGGGGCTGGTGTAGCCTGGATCTTACGCCTGGCCCTATCCAGAGGAGACCAGAATTGGGGACTGAAGAGACCAGACAGCCACCATGATTTGCTCAGAAGAGCAAAGTCATTTGCTGAGCGGTTTAGGCTGAGTTGACCTTACCCATATCTGTCATTTCTGCCCCTGTGGGGGCAGCAGTCACCAGTGCCCACTCAGCAGAGAGGGCAGAGGCAGACCCTTTCACTTTAAAAAAATACATATATAGGGCCAGGGATGTAGCTCAGTGGTTCCACCACCTGCCTCACAAGCACAAAGTCCCAAGTTTGATCCCCGGTACCAAAAAAAAGAAAAAGTCCCTGTAGAAACCCCGGAAAGCTTAGAGGAAAGGTAATGCTCCCATCCAGGCACACTCTCCCCAGCTGCCACTCTACAGGCAGACACTGCATCTACACACCTGGGCACGCTGTACACGTATACGGCTCATCCTGCTCTTCACCCAGAGACTGGTGCCAAGGATGGGGGCCACATCTCTCATCCTGACCCGTTTCTGTCACCCCCAGGATCCTGCCATCAGCAGCTCAGGCCCTGCTGGCAGTTATAGACCCTATGACGAGGGTCTGCGGAGGGGGGTTTTCATCACCAATGAGACCGGGCAGCCACTGATTGGAAAGGTAGGCTGGGGACCTGGAGGGTCTGACCAGGGAGCACAGAGTAGCTGTTCAGGAAGACAGTGGGATTTCAGATGTCAGGACCAGTGGGACAGAGTGGGTGGGAAAAGGCCCAGCTGCTGGCGGCAGGGGCTCCTGATAAGGAACACCCTGGAATTCTTCCATCAGGGAGCCTCAGCCAGCAGGGCAGTGGGGCCCTGCCAGGCGTGACCTCTGCATACCTTTGGTGAGATCTTAGGGGCCTTCTGAGAGTTCCCCCGCCCTCCCATGGGGAGCTCAGCAGAGTCCAGGTGTGCCCAAGCTAGGAGGAAGGGGGACCCCCATTGAGGGAGGGCCCAGGCACCCCCGCAGATGTGGGAGGCTCCCTTCCTGGGTGGGTCTTTGACAGCAGCAGCCCCGATGAGGTTGTCTCCACCGAGCTTCTCACACTCCAGTTCCCTGGTCTGTCCACACGCTGGCTGGATATGTGGGTGGCCTGGGGCTCTCCCAGGGTGAGGCCCGTCAGGCCCTGTGTCAGAACAGTGTGGGGAGGGATCCACTCATTGAGCCCTGGGGCCCGAGTGTTTTGCCGATTTGTTTGGTTTTTGGTTTTTTTGGTATGGGTGATCGAACTCGGGTCCTTGCGCTTGCGCAGCAGGCAGCGAAACCACTGAGCTAAATCCCCAGTCTGTTTTGCCAATTTGGACGCTAACTAATAGTGAGGCTTCCACCCCGCTGGAGGCTGTGACTCCACAGGGCCCTGGTGCACGCTCTGGCTGGGGCCAAGTCTCCCCTTGGCCTCTCGCTGTCCAGGTATGGCCTGGACCCACTGCCTTCCCGGACTTCACCAACCCCGAGGCCCTTGACTGGTGGCAGGACATGGTGTCCGAGTTCCATGCCCAAGTGCCCTTCGACGGCATGTGGATTGTAAGTATGGCCCCTGCCCAGTGCCCCCCACAACCCCACCTGTGGACCCCGGCCCCGCCATCTGCACCCTGGGCTTCTCTTGCAGGACATGAATGAACCGTCCAACTTTGTGAGGGGTTCTGAGCATGGCTGCCCGGACAACGAGCTGGAAAACCCACCCTATGTGCCGGGTGAGCTCCCACCCTCCTGCCCTGGGAGCCCCGTGGGGGTTGGTGGCCCACATCTGGGACTCACCTTCTCTCCATTATGACTTGAAGCTCTAAGAAGCAGTGGGCAGCAGCATCTGAAGGGGAGGGAGGGGAACTCCAGGCAGGTGTGGTCCAGGTGGGATGACTGGGCCTAGGACCCAGGCGTGGTCGCACACGGCCAGTGCTTCAGGGGAGGGCTTTCGGGCTCAGGGTGACACGAGACATGCGGGCTGGAGGTCTGCAGAGCCTTGTTGGGTACCCACCTCGTCCTGTGTTTGTGAGCAGTGGAGACAGCAGAGGGAGGTCCCCAGGCCCCGAGGGCCACACCGTGAGCAGGGGCAAGCTCCACACCCAGCAGGAGACGGGGAGGCTTTAGGGTACACCCCCAGGAGCCACGCCTGAATATATAGCGACCTGCACAGTGGCTCCCAGAACAAGGGGGACAGGAGGGTGCCAGCGGCCCACCCAGCCCAGGAGCGAGTCCATGGAAACCAGCCCCCTTCTCTCCCAGGAGTGGTCGGTGGGACCCTGCAGGCAGCCACTATTTGTGCCTCCAGCCACCAGTTCCTGTCCACACACTACAACCTCCACAACCTATATGGCCTGACAGAAGCCATGGCCTCCCACAGGTGAGGCCCAGTGGCAGCCCGGCCCAGCTCAGGGTGTCGGCAAGGAAGGAAGACACCCTGACCACTCAGAGCCACCGGGGCCTGTGCTCCTGCCCCACAGCCCAGCCTGCAGCCAGAGCTCTCTCGCTCTGCACACCGGTCAACCCCGGGTGCCTTCCTGTGCCACCAAGAACCCCGTGTCTGCTTGGAGGCTGGGGTGGGGTGGCTCGCCTGTAGAGGTTGGGGTGGCTGGGGCAGGGCTGACTCCCCCACCGCCTCTGTGTCAGTTCCTCCTCTCGGCTCTACCCCACCACTGCTATGGCCAAGTGCCCTGCCCTCGCAGGTAGTGAGGGGCTCCCGGGGAGCCACTCCACTCGGCTCTGTGTCCCCTCTCCCACCCAGGGCCCTGGTGAAGGCTCGGGGGACGCGCCCCTTTGTGATCTCCCGCTCAACCTTTGCTGGCCATGGCCGGTACGCCGGCCACTGGACGGGAGACGTGTGGAGCAGCTGGGAGCAGCTTTCCTACTCTGTGGCGGGTGAGAGCCTCAGTCAGGAGCCACTGCCTGGCGGGGCAGCGGGGCCCCTGCACAAGCAGCTCTGCCCGAGCTGGTTCTGGGCTCTGCACGGCTTGGATGCTTCGCCAGTGGCTTGGGGGCCTCTGCCAGTCCTGTGGGCCAGAGACCTGCTAGCCGTGCACACCTGTGCAAGTAGGCCAGCTCACCTGTGTGGGTGGCTCACCCCCCACACCTCTTCTGGTGGCCGTGTCTCTGGTTCACCCTAGGCACTGCCTGAAAAGCTACCAGACTCTCCCCTTCCCAGCTGCCCCTCTGGTGACCACGTCCCGAGCTGTAGGAACATGGGTCTGAGCTCAGCCCACAGGACGCCCCTGCCCTGGACTTCTTGGCCCCAGCTCCATCCTGTGAAGACGAATTTGATTTTTGTTCTCAGAGCTTTAATGTGGTTGACTCACATGAAGCCTGGAAGTGGCCCAGACCCCTGGAAAACAGGTTAGGGAGTGAAGGGTGCCCATGAGGGTGCCCGGGCCATCATGGCAGCTTAGAAGAGCCAGGCCAGGGCCCGGTGCCCTCTGAAATGTTCTGAACAGTGGGGACCTTGCGTGAGAACTCCCTGAGATCTCAGGAGAAGTGAGCCCCCTTCTAGAAGGCGCTGGCTGCTCTGCCCCACCCAGTTGCCTCCTCACCCCCAGGCAGGCGTGGCGGGCAGAGACAGTCTGGAGCCGCTTTGCGGAGACCTTTCCAGGTCTGCGATTTTAGCCCCCACCTGCACTGAGTGCTACTAAGCAAAGGGCCTGTGGGTCTCCGGATCAGTTGTTACCCAGAAGAGATGCTCCCCAGAGCCCCAGGCTGGGCCGTCCTGCCGCTGGCTCCCAGTCCAAGGTCCTTGTTCCCAAGGAGACTGAGCCCAGTGGCAGTGGTGGGGAGCGCCACACCTGGCAAGAGGGCCTTGAACCCGTCCACCCTTCGTAGCCAGGGGGACTCACTGTCCCTTCTAGGTTCCTGTGGCTGCCATAATGAAGGACCACAAGCTGGGGCTTACAACAACAGGACTTATCTCTGCAGTGTGGAGACCACAAGTCAGAAATAAGGTGTGGGCAGGTCCTGCTCGCTCCTCTTCCTGGAGTCCTTACATGGCGGTTTCCTGGTCTAAGGATGTCAGTTGTTGGATTAGGCCCAACCCAAAGACCGCATATTCACTCAGTTATATCCGCAATGACCCTGTTTCCAAAGAAGGTCACATATCTTGTCCTGGGGGTTAGGACTTGATCCTTTGGGGACACGGTTCACATATGGGGCTCTACTTTGCTTTGCCTGCCCCATGGTCAGGAAGCACCCCCATGGAGGACATGGCTGCTGCCTGAGTGGAAGACACAGAGCCCAGCACCGTCCTGACCCTTCAGAGGGAGCTGCACCTCCAGCAGCTCTGCAAGCCTGTCTGTCCAGCTCCCTGGCCTGAACTGGCCCAGCTGCAGCAGTTTGACGCCAGTCACCTCTGTCCCCACAGAAATCCTGCAGTTTAACCTGCTGGGGGTGCCCCTGGTTGGGGCAGATATCTGCGGCTTCCTGGGGAACACCTCGGAGGAGCTGTGTGTGCGTTGGACCCAGCTAGGAGCCTTCTATCCCTTCATGCGCAACCACAATGACCTGCACAGCCAGGTAGGGCCGGCGGTGGGCACAGGGAGGAGCCTGAGGCAGGAGGGAGCCCCCATCATGAGACCTGCCCTGGAAAATCCTGTCGCTACCACAGCAGCCTATCCCATTGTCCTCCCCACACTGGGTGACCAAGGGGCAAGCAAGGTGCCCAGTCAACGGGACCATGACCTCAGGTGCCCCTCTGCCCATGCAGCCCCAGGAGCCATACAGATTCAGCGAGCCTGCGCAGCAAGCCATGAGGAAAGCCTTTGCCCTGCGCTATGCACTGCTGCCCTACCTCTACACTCTGTTCCACGGCGCCCACGTCAGGGGCGAGACCGTCGCCCGGCCCCTCTTCCTGGAGTGAGTTACCTGGGCTGGGGAGTGATGCCCCATGGGCACTGGGGTGCGGGAGCTCACCAGGGCTTTGTTCCTGGGACCGGAGCAGATTGTGGCTGAGTGAGGGCAGAGTGCCCCCCAGCCTCACTAGATCGCAGCTCAGGGCTGGGGCATTCAAGGTGTGGAAAGCTGGGATGGAGACCTCTGAGCACCAACCGAGCCGCCCCGTTGTCAGGCGGGGACGGGACAGGCAGGCTGGATCCCCGTGGGGCTGGGGAGGGCGGCAGGAGAAACATGGCGGGTGACACACACAGGACTGGGTGCAGTCCTCGAGTAAAGGCCAGAGCCTCTGGTGGAAAGGTTTGTCCGCTGTCTGCACATGTCCAGGTGTCTTCTCCTTGCACCGCATGAACGGAAGTTCCAGAAGAATTAAATGTTAGATGTCAAAAGTAAGCTGTACAAAATGCCACGGATTAGAAGTAACCATTTACCAAGGCTCTGGGGCAGAGAGTTTTCTGAGCATTGGAGGAAGAGGAAGGAGATTGAATTCCTAAAGAAAAACGACTATTGCACTCAGCAGAAGGAGAAAATTAAAGTCTCTGGCTAAAAGAAAATTGAAACTGTTCAAAACATAGATTGTAATGGCAGACAGATTCGAGAAATCACCATCAGTAAAATGGAGAGTGTCATTCTTCCTAATACAGAACGGATGCATAGCAGATGGATAAGACCAGCTTTAAGGGGCAAATGAGGGGCTGGGGTGTGGCTCAGTGGTAGAGCACTTGATTAGCATGTTCGTGGGCCCTAGGTTCAATCCCCAGCAACACGCAGCTTGAGCACACACATGTGCACACAGACACACACACAGAAGCACATACAGAAACAGCCAGGCACTGTTTGTAGAGCAGGGAACATGAACGGCAGTACACACTTTCTCACCAGGAAAAGCAGTTTATAAGTTTTCAGTGCTTAATGTCTTCATCTGTCACAGTCTAGTTGTAACTAATAACAATTTAATTTCAGTAGTAGAAAGAAAACTTTGTTTAACCAGGCATGGTGGAGGATGCCTGTCATCCCAACACCGAGGGAAGCTGAAGCAGGATGATCACAAGTTCAAGTCCCTCCTGGTCAATTTAGCAAGATCTGTTCTCAAAAAAAAAAAAAAAAAATGAACAGATGTAGCTCAGTGGTAGAGCACCCCTGCGTTCAGTTACCAGTACCGCAAACAAAACAAAAAACTGTCTCCTACATAGTTCATCCCCTGCCCTCCCTTGCGTGGTCAGCATCACACCAATCGTATCTTTGACCCCACGTGCCACACTGACCGTGACTGCCTGGCGCAGCTGCATTTTAAGTCAAGTGGGAGCAGCAGAAAGGGCCACAAACAGCACCTGGATGCCTCTCTCGTGTTTGCACCTGGAGATGCCTGCACACTGCTGTTCGTGTCTCTGTGGGTCTGGATCACCCTCTGTGCACCTGCTAGTGACGAACGCTGTCCGTTCCTGCTGCTCTGGGAATGTCTTCACGTCTCCTGTTTCGGAGGGTGGTTCTGCTCAGTGAGAATTCTTAGTCGGTGTTCACTTGCTCTTCAGTGCTTAGAACACATCTCTCCGCTGCCTTTGGCCTCTCCAGTTCTGATGAAGAGCTTCTCTCCTGGTTCTCGGCACAGTCTCTGGAGTTTGAGGATCAGCTTACGGTGTGCCTAGGTGTAGAGGTCTTTGTAGTTATCCTACTTGGAGTCCGCTGAGGTTCCTGGATGGCAAATTCGTATTTTTTGGTCAGGCAGGGCAGGGGTGTGGCTCTGTGGCAGAGCCCTTGGCTACCCTGCATTAGGCGCTAGGCATCCTTACCACAAAAACAAACAGAACCCCTTTTTAAGTCATTGTTATTTCTTAAAATATTTCTTTCCTTTTCTCTCTTCTGCATCCGGGATTCTCATTACACGTATATTGGGGCCCTTGATATTTAAAGCTCTGTTTATTTTTTCTTCATTATTTTTTCCTATTCCTCTGCCTGGGTAGCCTTGATGGTCCTGTCTTCTCGTTCCCTGATTCTCCTATTTGCTCTAAGTTGTACTGAGCCTCTCTAGTGAATTTTTTTTTCAGTTGTACTCTTCTCAAAATTTCTGTTCTTTTTAAAGTTTGTGTCCTTACGGATATCTCCTATTTGCTGAGTTATATTCCTATACTCTCCTGTAGTTCTTTAGATGTACTCAAAATAGCTGACCTACCCTGGTATGGTGGTACATGCCCATAATCCTGGATATTCGGGGAGCTGAGGCAGGAGGATTCAAGTTTGAAACCAGCCTAGGCAACCTAGCTACACCTTGAATCAAAATATAAGCCAGGTGTGGTGGCACATGCCTATAGTCCCAGCATTCTGGGAGGCTAAGGTTGAATCCCTTAGGATTGCAAGTTTGAACCCAGCCTAGGCAACTCAGTGACTTAGCAAGACCCTATCAAAAAATAAAAAGGGCCTACTAAAAAGAATATAATAATTAAAATTAAAAGGGCTAGGAATGTAGCTCTGCAAAGACTCTGGGTTTAATCCTCAGCCCTGCCCCCCCCATATATAATAATATATATTATATATAATAAAATATATAGTATATAACAACATATATATTATATATATAATAAAAATGGGCAGGGGAGGTAGTTCAGTTGTCATGTGCGCCCTGGGTTCAATCCCTAGTACTGGGGGAAAAAAAGCAAAGGCTTACTCAGTCTTTAGTAACAAGAGCAACACCAGCCCCTCAGGAATGGCTCCTGGTTTCCGCCACTGCCCCCTTCTCCCAGGGCTGAGCCACACTTCCATGTTTCTTTGATGTCTTCCAGTTCTCGGCTTCAGGGTGGCCACTTCCAGGGCTCAGCTCTAGTCCCCAGGCTTCCCCTGCCCCGCCCCTGGCCGTGGTGTGCCTGCCTGGGGACTGCTTCGTGGCTTTCCCGAGTTACCGCCCGGAGCCTGTGTTCTCTGGCCACAGGAGCCGTTCAGGGTTAGCGTGGTGGGGAGCTAGCCCGTGGGCAGGGGTCTCCTCAGCTGCCTGTGCCAGGCTGAGTGCTCTGTTCTTCTTACCGAGATTCGTGAGGAGATGTGCGCTCGTTGCGTTGCTGGAGCCCTTGGCTGTCCCTGGGTGCCACAGATGTCGAGGCTGCCATTTTGGCCTGTGTTCTTGTTGCTTTTATGGAGGAGGAGACTGCGAGCCCCTCACTCCACCAGTGTCACTGACGTCCCTCCGAGCAGCGTGTTTCCATACGGAGAGACACTGTTTAGTGGGCCCGAGAAATGGTAATGAAAATAAGGCCACAGTGGAATGGACGGTTTCCAAATGCATATTTACACAGGGATACGAGGCGGCACATTTGTGGCTGTCAGTGATGTTTTTGACGCTCCTACATTGGTGCCTTCATTCTCCAAACAAATCTGGCCTTGAAACATCATCCGGACACTGGTGTCCCCAGGGCAGTGTGCATGCTGGGCATGGGGAGCCGCCTGGGTTCCCAGGAGTGGCAGATGGGAAGTGTAGAGTTGTGTCGGCACGATGCTCTCAGATGAGTAGTGGAAAGATGGACAGGACATACGCCAAGTGTGAGTAAGAGTGGCCTCTGGTTGTGCCGTAGTGAGCAGTCTCTTCCTGGTTGTTGATAGGTTTTTGTGCTTTTCCAGATAGTTGGACAAACGCATCACTACTTTGCTAATGGAAGAGAAATGAGCACAGTGCAGAGGTGGGTGGCCCTTCTCTGGTGGCTCCGGGGCAGACGAGCCTGATTCCCATCCTGGACAGAGGCCGCCCTGAGCGTGGCCCACGGGAAGTTATTTTAGGCTCTTGGGTGGACCTGGTCAGCAGGAACCCGGCCTGCCTCTGTAACCTGAGTCCTCTCTTCCCTGGCTCCCCAGAGCTGGGGATTCCAGCTCCACTCTCTCCCTGCCCTGCAGGCCGTCTGTGTCTCTGCCCCGGCCCACATGCCTCCACCCCTCTCTGCAGGTTCCCCAAGGACCCCAGCACCTGGACCGTGGACCGGCAGCTCCTGTGGGGTCAGGCTCTGCTCATCACACCTGTACTCGAGCCTGGGAAGACTGAAGTCACCGGCTACTTCCCCTCGGGCACGTGGTATGACCTGCAGATGGTGAGAGGGGAGACCCCGAAGCCTGGAGGGGGGGTGCTCCAGAGCAGCCCGCAGTCCTGACCTGGACAGAGGTGTGCAGTCCTGGCTTCGTGCGGGTTCCTCACACACACACATCAGCCCATCAGTTCTTTGCAGGGACCACATTTTCCATGCGAGGAACCAGCCTGTGCGGGTAACTCCCCAGGCTCAGACAGCCGTCGCTGGGGCTGAGCTACACTGGGTGTCATCTGACTTGCCCTGGACCTGTCCCACCAGATGTCCTGTGGCCACACAGCCTGTCTCTCCTGGGCTCCACACGGCTCCTGGGGACAGCATGGGGCTGTGGTGCTGCCTGGGCCCCTTGTGACGTGACACCTCCCTCCAGGTACCAGTAGAGGCCCTGGGCAGCCTCCCGCTTCCGCCCCCAAAGTCCCCCAGCCCTGCCATCCACAGTGAGGGGCAGTGGGTGACGCTTCCGGCCCCCCTGGACACCATCAATGTGCACCTGCGGGCTGGGACCATCGTGCCTCTGCAGGTACTAGGGCTGTACAGTGGGGTGGGGGTGTGGACACCGGTGGGGCTGGGGGCTCAGGGGGCTCCTGGGGGGCGGAGCCTCTCCAGGGAGGAGATAGGAGCGGGGGGGGCGGGGGGGCACAGCGCTCTGTCCCTTAGGAGGGTCCGTATGTCAGGGCCCAGCTCCGGGGAATGGGTCGCCGATCCTTGCAGTGGAGACAGACTCAGGTCCGCTGGCCTCGGCCAGGGCGTCACCACAGGCCGTCCTGCACACCTGCCTCCTTGTAGCCCGTCCCGGAGCCCTCCACCAGGGCCAGGGCCGTGACACGTGTCCACCCCCTTCCTAGGCCCCTGGCCTCACAACCACAGAGTCCCGAAAGCAGCCCATGGCCCTGGCTGTGGCCCTGACCCCGCGTGGTGAGGCCCAGGGGGAGCTGTTCTGGGACGATGGGGACAGCCTTGGGGTGCTGGAACGCGGGGCCTACACGCAGGTCGTCTTCCTGGCCGGGAACGTGAGTCCCAGGCCTCCCGGGCCGGCGGGAAGGGAGCCGTGGGAGGGGACCCACCCTGCTCAGGGGAGGGGTGCCAGGCAGGGGACTGTGCCAGGCGTCCTGTCTCTTCACATCCACACAGAGGGCCCCCGGAACACTGGCAAGTCCCTGCTCTGGGGGGTTCCTGCCCCTGCCTGTCTGTGGCCACTTTTGTATTCTTCCTGCCTCTGTGCCAACCAGAACACCATTGTGAACCAGCTGCTGCGCCTGACCAAGGAGGGGGCGGACCTGCAGCTGAGGAAAGTGACCGTCCTGGGGGTGGACACGGCCCCCCGGCAGGTCCTCTTCAACAGTGTCCCTGTCTCCGACTTCACCTACAGTCCAGACACCAAGGCAAGAGGGCAGAGCGGCAGGGGCTCTTGTCCTCAGGGTGGCTGCAGGGAGGTGCTCGGGATACCAGCGGCCCAGTGCCGTCCAGCTCGAAGCGTGGATATGGAGGATGCCTGGACCCCAGGGTCCCGGGGGGAGGAGTAGGCCCTCAGTGCTCCCCCCATCCACATCTGGGTGGCAGTGGGGTGACCCTGGCCGTGGAGGCTGTGAGCCGCTCACGTGGTGCCCGGCCTCCTGAGCCATGCAGGGCCAATGTGAGGCGGAGCGGCAGCCAGCAGCCATGCACGGCTCGTGGCAACAGCTGCCCAGCGCTCAGGTGTCCTTCTCTCTTGAGCAGACCCTGGCCATCCCTGCCGCGCTGTCCATGGGGAAGCAGTTCCGTATCAGCTGGGCCTAGTGGCAGCAGTGCCCATCTTGCCAGGGAGGTGCTGCCGGGTGGGTGAAGCAGAGCTGCGGTTCCTGAGCACGTTGGTTCCAGAGGCACCAAGCACAGGATGGCTGTTGAGCCCAGCACTGGTCTCCTAACTTGTCTGAGAGTGCACCACACACACACACACCACCGTCAGTGCCCTCGGCCACTGTGTAAGGACGTCATACGGCGAGGCTGGCTGCCCCTGGCCTGTGACCAGGTGCAGCAGTGTCAGCTGCCACCACCGCCCTTTGTCCCTGCCCCCAGAGAAGGTGACACCCAGGACACAGACACTGTACCCACGCCAAAACCAAGCCCTGTGGGTGCAGCGGCTGTGAACCCACAGAAGGACAAAGCTGGTGACACTGTGGAGTCCACAGACGTGAGGAACTGCTGCCTGGGAAGTATCATTACGGTTAATAAAAGGGACTTTGAGAACCAGCACCTGCCAGTCCTTCTGGGCTTCAGGGCCCTGAAGTGTCCCAGGGCCACCAGGAGACACCAGAGGGCCCTGGTGTGTTGCCCCTGCCTGACAAGGCAGCCGCCTGTGTGTCCTCAGTCACCTCACGTGCCCATGTCACCCTTCCTGTCCTCATATCCCTTCATGTCTGCATCTCCCCCTTCCCCTTCAGGTCCCTTTTGCCTCATATCCTTACCTTACCTCACATCCTGTCACCTCTGGTTCCCCCTGATGTCCCCTCACCTCCCCGATACCCATGCCCAGGGTGACTGGAGAATGTCTAGCAGGGCCTGGGGCCGCATGGACACGAGGACTTTGGAGGGGCCTGAGGCCTCTGCCCCAGCTCTGTCCCAGGTGAGAGGAGGACAGGTTCCGGCCCAGGTTCCCCGGCGAGCCTGAGGAAAGGAGAGGAAGAAGCCCAGTGTTGGGGTCACAAGATGGCCAGCCCTTCAGAACACCTTGTCCTGTCAGCGGGATTGATGGGGCCAGAGACGGGCCTGTGCTTACCTCTGCGGCCTATGGAAAATCGAGCATCAGAGGTACAGTGACTGACAGGAGCTCACACCTGACAGGCGACTGTGCGTCTTCCAGTCTTCACTCACAAGAGAGCCCTTCACAGGGCCAAGTCCCGGGCCCCACCTGCCACCCCGCCTGTGTGGACCTCTTAGCCCTAGCCCCTCATGTTCCAGTGATCATATGAAAAAAGGGACAGCAGTAATAACCAGATACCACTTTATCCCTGCATCCTAGCAATGTACAGCGTTAAGCAGAGGTGGAGCCAGGAGTAGTGATGCACATCTGGTATCCCAGCACTCTGGAAGGCTGAAGCTACATGACTGCAAATTCCAGCCTGGCTTGGGCAACTTAGTGAGACACTGTCTCAAAAATACATAAAGGTTGGGAAGATAAGTCAGTGCAAAGGCCCTGGGTTCACCTCACGGTACCAGGGGTGAACGTACCTGGAGAGAAAACAAAAATGGAAGGGGAAGTGGTCCCTCCCTAGGCAGCAGAGCCAAAACCCTGTCAGTGCTGGTGGCCCGGGTGGCTGAGGACGCCCTGCCTGACAGTGCCAGGCTCCCAGAGTAAGAGACTGTCGGGGAGGGCTGATGACGCAGTGGCCGCCGCCAGGCTGGACTAGCCATCCGTGTGCTCACCTCCTGTGCTATCACAGCCCCAAAGGGCAAATTGGCCACTGTACCCCCCTTGCAGGAATGTCGGGAGTTCTCATCCCCATTGGGCCAGTGCAGGAAGGGACGGGATGAAGAGGTGTGGGTTCTGTCCTCGAAGGGGCGCTGAGCAGTGAACCACGATGCGTGGCCCTGTATCCTCATGGGGCTGGTATTCCTGTGCCGCCGTTCGTGACCCACACCTGCTACCGGTCCTGCTACACAGGAGCACTCGCTCAGGTAGACACGCTAGCGTCTGGGCCCGCCGGACCTGGTGCAGAGGGGTTCCCAGAGGCCTCCTAAGCAAGGCCCATTCTCAGACCCGGTGAATGTTTGAACGCATGCAGGTTACGCACGTGGCCGGGGCTGGCTTCCCAGGCACGGGACATGCGTGGGCCCAAAGGACTCAGAAGGGCTCTGAGCTGGGATAAAGCTTTGCTGCCATCCCAAAACCCTCAGTAACTTTCTCACAAGGGTCCTGCAGCATTCTCAAGTCTGCGTGGAGCCCCCAGGCTGTAAAGCTGGTTCTGGGGGTGGGTTTGCCCCCCCCCCCCCCGTTTACATTGGTACAAACTAATACAAACGTCCCTTTCTTTCCTGGGCGAGGGAGGGATGGACGGGGGAAGCGGGATAGAAAGCGGTCCTGTGTCAGGGACAGCAAGTACATCCCAACCCCCACACCCCCAGGAGTCAGGGTGCTGCCGACGGCAGCCCCCAGGGGGTCTCAGCGGCTCCGCAGGGCCTCCGTGCACAGCAATCAGCCTCTGAGGTCACCTGCCGGACGCCCTCTGGTGGCCGCATAGGAGACGACACAGATGGGAGCATGTTGCCTAGGGCCGCAGAAGGAAGGCTGGGTAAGGGGCTGACAGGGAGCACCGGGCTGTCCACGGGGCCAGACACAGCTGGTGAGGCGCAGCTCGGCGTCCGCAGGCCAGACCCGCCTCCACAGCACTCCACTCGCAGCTGCTCCCCGGCCGACCACGGTGGGAACCCGCTGGAAACCGCGGTGCTCCAGGGGTGTGTGGGAAGGGCAGGACAAGGAGCCCAGGAATAACGTCCAGTCCGAGGGCCCAGGGGCTCAGCGTGCCGGCTCTTCCTGGTGTGTGCTGGGCACTTGCCCTGGCCCTCAGACAAAACAACTGCAGCAGGCCGAAGTTGTCTTTGCTGTTGCCTCCATTACAGAGGTGTGATCACCGGACAGTGTGCTGAACAGCTGTACGAACCAGATGGAATTGCTCACGTCAACCCCGACAAGGTAAGGGAGGCAGCAGGTGTGAGGAAGGGGTCCTGGCACAGGTCTGCTGGACAGTGACTGTCAGTTACTTCACTGCCAGCACCACAACCTTTACAGAGGGCACTGCAACTCACACAAAAAAACGACTTTAAATTCTTTTTTGCAACTAGGAATTGAGTCCAGGGCCTTGGCGCAGAGCTGCATCCTGACCTCTTTGAGGCAGGGCCTGGCTATGTCAAATTCCCCAGGCTGGGCTCGAATGTGAGATTCTCCTGCCTCAGCCTCCCAGAACCCTAGAATTACAGGTGTGCATCACACTTGACTTTGGTTTTCTGCGGTGCTGAGATCAGATTCAGGGTTGTGCACATGCTAAACAAGTGTTCTGTCACTGAGTTGCATCCCTAGCCCCCTAAAGCCCAGCCACTCAGTCTGGTGTCATGATTATGGCCTAGGATTACTGGTTCAAAGTGGTTTATGAAACTCATTTTCTGCCTTTTAGAATCTCCCCTGCCTCAGCCCTTCTGCACACACCATAGTTTACTGTCATGCTGTTTACCTGACGGACATCAGCATTCTTCGGAGAATCTATCTAGGCTGGTGGTGGCGAACCTATGACATGCATGTTTCTAAGGCAAAAGATGTTAATATATGAGTTGTTCTCTCTACACTTAAACCTGCGTTCAGGTTTAATTGCAGTGTGGCACTGTGCGATAGACAAGTGGGTTTTGGGTTGTAGTCTGGGCACTCAGCTCTAACAGGTTCACCATCACTGGTCTGGGCTGGTGATGCACCAGCCGTCTTAAGGTACAACCCGAGTGGTTTTGACACAGGTCTCTCTGTGAAGCCGGCTCTGTGACTAGCATGGTGCCTGTACCACCCCGAGGGCCCCAGCCCTTTGTCATCCCAACTCATCTGCCGGTGACTCCTGGTAGGTCACATAAATGGAACCCCTTTGTGTAAGTAGTAAATCACTCAGCCTGCAAATGACCCACAGCTCTTAGTACCTGGCAGGTGTGCCGTTATTGTTACCCACCTCCAGTGGACACCAGGATTGGCTTCTGGCTACTGTGGTTCCGTAACAAACACCAAAGGTGAGATGTCAGCTCATACAGGAAGTGTTTTGCACTCCCAGCATGGAACAGTGGCAGCTACCTCGTGCTCATGCCCATGTTCGGAGTGGCGTCTTTTAATTACAACAGTCCAGTGAGTGCAGGATGGTACTGGGTGGTTCCCATTTTCACCCCGTTGGCTGATGGGTGTCCGACATCTTTCCACGTGCTCCTCTGCCATACATGTACTTTCTTTTGCAGGATCTGTTCAAATGTTTTGCCACTTGTGAGTTGGATTTGAATTAGAAAAGATTTTCTACTTTTGCATAACTTATTTCTGTAATTCTAGGGCCTTAAAATACAAACTCTTATTTGGTCAGTCCTGGCAGTGAGAAGTCTGTCACGTGAGTAGTCCCACCTATGGTAGCTACAATCAGGGCTTTGCTGTGAGGCTGCTTTCCTCTCTGGAGCCTCCAGTTTGTGTCCCGGCTTGTGTGGCTGTTGAATCCATGTCTTGGAAGTCAGAGCTGAGCTGTGCCCTGCTGACTGTCAGCTGGGCCCTTCTGGAAGCCTCCCCCAGACTCAGGCTCATGGCCTCTTCCTCAAATCCAGCAGTGGATTCCTGAGAATCTTCCGTCACAACACCCTCAGAACAACTGAAGCAAACAAAGTTCTGACTTCAAGCATTCCCATGAGCAAAAGGTGCATTCATCTAAGTCAGGGACAGTAAACCTTTTAGAGACCAAGTACCCAAACTGCACCTGAAAATCCACTTACTGATCGCAAAGTGCCAACACTTCGATTAAACCTGAGTATCTGATGCTCGGCTTTGGGGGCAACTCAGCTCTATGTGCCGCCTGCTGCTGCATGTGTGTCATGGGTTTGCCACCACTGGGCCAGGTAATGCAGGACTTCCTCCTCTCAAGGTCGCAGCGCGTCAGCCCCAGTCCCTTTCACCATGCACTGTGACAGTCCTGTGGGGTCAGGACACTGGACTCTCAGGACTGCTACCCTGCCTCCCTCCCAACGGCTCCCTACAGATCCAGGAGTAGGGCCCTTGTCAGGTGCACACGTGGCAAATACTGTACACTTCCCCAACACGTGGCCTGCCTTCATGAGTGTCTAATGAAGAATAAAAACATGTTTAGTCTCAACGAGCCCACGTTGTAATCATTTTTTATATCCTTCAAAAGAAATCTTTGCCAAGCCCAAAATCATTTGTTTTCTTCTACAGATTTTGTAATTCCAGCTCCAGTATTCAAACATTTCAAGTTAGTTTTGGCATAAAATGTGAAGGGGGCGGAACAGGCTTCCCAGGACAACACAGCAAGTTACTAGGAAAGGGGGCAGCACCACCTGAAATGGCAACTCCAGTCTGTGGTAAGTGTTTAAGTATTTAATGAAAAGACAGCAATGCGTTATTTACACGTGGATAAGAAAGGTGGCAGAACTGCCAGGGAACCTTCCTGGAGGTGCTGTGGGAAGGGTTCAGAGAAACCCCCTGAGGAGCTGCCCGCAGCATCTCCAAGCAA